GATAAGCCTAAAATTGAGATAATTTATTAAAAAAATTGAGATAATTTATTAGAGAAGGTCCACAATTTTTCTTTAATCAAATGCATGGTTCAATTTTATTATATTTATTTATTTATATTTATTTATACTTCAGTTACATTTAAAGTTCTTCATTCACTTGTCAACCATAATTAATATATGTCTAACCTTGATGAGCTTTAAAAAGCTCTTTTTTATCACATTCAAATTATCACATTTCTTCTTTCTTGTTTTCTCTTTCTGTGTGTTTGTTTCATCATTGATCAGTGGTGTGAATGGGTCCAATTTCCACAGATGAGCTTCATCTATTTCACAGAAATCACCGTGAGGTCTTCTGTTTTCTGATCTTCAGACTGCGACGTGACTTGACACAATCCCTTCTGGTCATGGCATTGTGGATTTGGCTTGAACACAAAGGATACCCCAATATCACTCACAAAGTCATGGCTTTATCTCATGCTTCTGCTATCAATGATATTGTCGATGAAACTGTATCGTGTTTAAAATGCTTAGAGAGAGAAAACTCTGCCACCCCAAAAAATGGTGCTTTGCCCTCAACACAAAACTTAACACAAAAACGCATATCCCTTAAAATATTTAAGGAGAAAAGGTACACCATAATAGCTGGTATAAAAAGTGTACTAAAAAATATCTGTGCTCGAATTTTTGCTGATGTTTTGCAGATGATCTTAAGAAGCAAGAACACCAACAGAGCTCGCACATCACGAGGTAACATATCAGACACTCCTGTCACCATCCCGGGTTTTCCACACCCTTTGTTTGGTTCCTTCAACATTAATCCACCAGACGACAGTTCTACGAACATGGACTTGTTTGATATGAGAATCTGGATGAAGGGGCCTTGCGATGATGTCACCACTGATGATAAATCCATGTTTCTAACATTTTCTAGAGGTTTCCCTGTGTCAGAAGGTGAGGTGATAAAACTGTTTAAACGTTCATTTGGAGACTGTGTGGAGAACTTATCTATGGGAAACACTGGTGCGCAAGATCAATCTTTGTTTGCCATAATGGTTTTGAAGAGTGTGAAAACAGTTGATCAAATTTTGAAAGGGAAACATGTTGCGAAGCTTCATATAAACAGAAAACATATTTGGGTTCGCAAGTACGAGCGTCGTGATTAAAACTATTTATCATCTATTAAGCCTACTTAATCAATTTAGAAGTCAAAGACTATAACCAAGTAGATATCATGCGTTTCCTTTGTTTTTGTATTTTGCT